TACTTGAGCCATTACCTGCTGCCTTCCAGGATGCACATTAGCAGGGAGCAGAGTTAAAAATGGAGCCAGACATAGGCAGTCAAAGCCAGAATTAACAATTGAGATTGCATCAAATTGAGAATGGGAAAAAATATTTGCAAACTATGCAACAGATAAAGAATTAGTAACCAGAATCTACAAAGAGATCAAGAAACTCCAAAACAACGAAACAACCCACTTAAGAGATGGGCCAAGGACCTCAATAGACATTTTTGAAAAGAAGAAATACAAATGGCCAACAGACACATGAAAAAATGTTCAAGATCACTAGCAATCAGGGAAATGCAAATGAAATCCACAATGAGGTTTCACCTCACCCTGGTTAGAATGGCTCACATACAGAAATCTACCAACAATAGATGCTGGTGAGGATGTGGGGAAAAAGGGACACTAACCCACTGTTGGTGGGAATGCAAACTGGTCAAGCCACTATGGAAGTCAGTCTGGAGATTCCTCAGAAACCTGAATATAACCCTACCATACAACCCAGCCATCCCACTCCTTGGAATTTACCCAAAGGAAATGAAATTGGCAAATAAAAAAGCTGTCTGCACCTTAATGTTTATTGCAGCTCAATTCACAATAGCTAAGACCTGGAACCAACCCAAATGCCCATCAACAGTAGACTGAATAAAGAAATTATGGGACATGTACTCTATAGAATACTATACAGCAGTAAAAAAAAAAAAACAATGAAATCTGGTCATTTGCAACAAGATGGAGGAATCTGGAAAACATCATGCTGAGTAAATTAAGCCATTCCCAAAGGGACAAATATCATATGTTCTCCCTGATTGGTGACAAATAACCGAGCACCTAAAAGGAAACCTATAGAAATGAAATGGACACTATGAGAAACAATGACTTGATCAGCCCTTGTCTTAACTGTTGAGGAACATCTTACTATTTTATTCCTTTTAGAATTTTCTTTTTCTACTTAATACCATTGGTTGAACTCTTTAATTAACACACAATTATTCTTAGGTGTTTAAATTTAACTGAAAATTGTTCCCTTTAAATATAAGAGTTGGAATAAGAGAGGGAGGAGATGTACAGTTCGACACATGCTCACTTGGACTTACCCCTAATGGTAGAGCTAGAAACGTGCCAGGGGATTCCAAATCCCATTAAGGTGTCATATACCAATACATGCAATCTTATTAGTTGCAATCTTATTAGTTAAGTGATTAGTTTAAGTTCATAATTGATCATGAAGATAGGATTACGTGTGAAAGGGATCACATAAACAAGACCAGTGTCTGCTAATAATAACTGATAGAATTAAAAAGGAGATAACAATCCAACATGGGAAGTGGGATACACAGCAGACTCATAGAATGGCAGATGTCCTAAACAGCACTCTGGCCTCAGAATCAGCCCTTAAGGCACTCTGATCTGGCTAAAATGCCCATGAGAGTTTTGCAGGCATGGAAAGCCAAGACATTGTGGCAAAAAAAAAAAAGAAAGAAAGAAAGAAAGAAAAAGACCTAAATGAAAGATCTCTGTGAGGGAGTCCCAGTGGAAAGAACGGGCCATCAAAGAAGGAGGTACCTTTCTCTGAAGGGAGGAGAGAACTTCCACTTTGATTATGGCCTTGTCTATATAAGGTTGGAGTTTGTGAACTCAAAAGACTTCCATAGCCTTGGCAGCTCACGTCAAGAGCCTCGGGTGTTGGGGCTGGCGCTGTGGCACAGTGGGTTAAAGCCCTGGCCTGAAGTGCCGGCATCCCATATGGGTGCCAGTTCTAGTCCTGGCTGCTCCTCTTCCAATCCAGCTCTATGCTTTGGCCTGGGAAAGCAGTAGAAGATGGCACAAGTCCTTGGGCCCCTGCACCCACGTGGGAGACCTGGAAGAAGCTCCTGGCTCCTGGCTTTGAATCAGCCTTTGCAGCCAATTAGAGAGTGAACCAGCAGATGGAAGACACATCTCTCTGTCTTCTACCTCTTTCTCTAACTCTGTCTTTTAAAAAATAAAATAAAATAAAATAGCCTCGGGTGATTACTGACTTCTTAAATAAGAGAGTCAATTTTTAAATCAACAATGGGAGTCACTGTGCACTTATTCCCCATGTAGGATCTCTGTCCTTAATGTGTTGTATTATGCAAATTAATGGTAAAACTAGTATTCAAATAGTACTTTATACCTTGTGTGCCTGTGTGAGTGCAAACTGTTGTAATCTTTACTTAGTATGTACTAAGTTAATCTTCTGTATATAAAGATATTAAATATGAATCTTAATGAAGAATGGGATTGGAGAGTGAGTAGGAGATGGGATGGTTGTGGGTGGGAGGGAGGTTATGGTGGGAAAAGCTGCTATAATCCAAAAGTTGTACTTTCAAAATTTATGTTTATTAAATAAGAGTTAAAAAAAAAAGTAATGGAGCCAGAACTTGAACCCAGGCACTACAACATAGGATGCAGGCATCCCAGTAGCATTTTTTTTTTAAATAAGATTTGTTTTTATTTATTTGAAAGGCAGAGTTACAGAAGGAGAGAGAGAGAGAGAGAGTTCTTCCATCTGCTGGTTCACTCCCCAGATGGCCACATCAGCTGGAGCTGTGCCAATCTGAAGCCAGGAGCCAGGTGCTTATTCCGGGTCTCCTACATGAGTGCAGAGGCCCAAGGACTTGGGTCGTCATCTGCTGCTTTCCCAGGTGCATTAGCAGGGAGCTGGATTAGAAGTGAGGCAGCCAGGATTCGGACCGGCATCAGTGGAAGCTTAACCTGCTATGCCACATTGCATGCCTCCCAAATAGCATCTTAATTGCTGCATAAAACACCTGCCCTAAGAAATAATTATTGAATTAATGAGTCACTACATTAGCCTAACTAGGAAATATTTCTAAGGACATAGAATTACTATGGAATACCAAACTGCACAATTTCTTCATTCTCACATGATCTCATTCATTTTAAATGATGATTGATACTCAGGTATTGAACACCTATTGATTGCTATTCTACTCATAAAAAGTCCTCCATTTAACACACGAGGGAAACAGACTTAGTTAAGCCACTTTCCTAATTTTGCACTACTCCTAAATAGCTGAGTTAGAATTCAAATTCAAGCCTGACCTAAAAAACTCTTTCCAGTATATCATACTTCCTGAAATATATATTCAGTGTACTATATCCTGTTTGTTGTTTACATTTATAATCTTGAGTATATAATGTGATTCAGAGCACAATGCAATCACTGTAACTCAGTAAACCCCTCAGTGAAGTTATCTCATATGAACTATGTAATCTTAGTTAATGCATAGAACCATTTCATTAGTCTGGTGTTCAACTTAAGACCTTTTCTTTCTTACATCCTTTCTAAATGATCTCTAAAAGCATAAATATAGAAAAAAGCTTAGTTAGAAGACTTGAGGATTGAGTTTGGGATGACATGACTAAATGATTTTCTGGTTAAGGATCAGGAAGTAATGAAAAACATTTTGTATTTGAGTCTTTACTTTTCTGAGAAATAATTCAAAATTCAGAAATTCATTTTCTAGTCCTAGAACAGACTAATGCAAGGGTATCCGGAACTAGCAATATGTATCCAGGAGTTTTAGATGGACAGTAGGGTTATGAGTAGAAATATAAGAATGTATTTTTATAAGTGATTCTTTTCAATCATGTATAATAATGAAATATATATAAGTGATAACAACTCACACATGTATAAAATTGAGGTTATCATCACTTGGTCTGTTTGATGATAGAGGACCACATGGAATGTCATATGATATTCATATATGTTGCAATAGAAGTGTGAAGGCAGAGCCAGAAACACTCATTTATTAGTTTACTTTTACCATATAAGTTTTGCAAGATATTGCAGCTAACATGTTCCCACTTAAATTTCCTGATCACGTTATCTAGTTTGAAATAAACTAACTTTGATAAAAGGAGTCTAAAAGATGCCTGCAAAGAACATTGAAGGTATTACCTGTAATGTAAGCAGAAACGAATAACAAGTTGATAACACACTTTGTCTGCCACATTCTTAGGATAAATACAAAAGAAATCCTAAAACCATGCTAATCTAATCAAATATGCTAGCATGTTGGCCTATAAATTTCAAAATAAGCTGGGAGAATTTGATATGTAAATTTATAGCCTACATAGCATCAATAAACTTCACCCTAACTATATTTTGTGCCTTGAAAAATATGACACTGCTTGTATATAATTTATAAATGTTCATCCACTGAGGGGATGTGTTTAAAATAAAAAACCCAGCAGGTATGCTACCAGCAAAGTTTAGAGACAAAGTGTATTAATACAACCTATTATCTTGCAATATTGGCAACATACATGTACATGTCTCTTTTTTATACTAGATACTAATTTATTTGAGGGGAGAAGGACTTTGTCTAGAGTAGGTAAATCTTGGTTTTGCAGAGTGGTTGGTGCTCAATTAGTATCTACTACATAAGGACATAAATTCAAAGCCAACATTAAAAAGCAGTGAAGAATAAGACAGCCTGATTTTTGTCACCAAAGGGAAATTTTGGTCATCCAATCTTCAAAAATACACTTTTATTTTTCTTCATCTAGAGAAAGGGATGAATAATTTCTTTTCTAACCTATTTCAATAATTTTGAACAAAGTCACACAGAAAAATTTATATTTTAGAGCCATGTACAGCTCTGATAACAATATTTTTTCAAATATAGCCTTCTTTGGAAGCTGAGTATCCTGAAAAGCTAAGAAAAGAGAATGGCAGGGGGGGAGAATGTTAGATATATCCTGAACATTAAGATAAATGCATTTTGGCATACTCAGCCTTTGGAATGCTGACACTTTCCTCCAATTGTTCAAACAAATAAATCGTTTCAATGACCTTGCTTTAAATTTTAACAGGATTTTTTTTTAATGGACAGAGAGGGAGGTTTAGACATTTCCAAATAACTCTTACAGTCTAAATGGTATCAGCATTCTCTTTGTTCCTGTTTCAGTCAATTCTATTTAAAAAGATCTCATTTAGAGATAAGAAAAAAAGCACTTAAGGGAAACCAATGGGGCAGCTGCCCTGATCTGGTTGGGAACTCATTTTCTGAGAATGTGAAGGCTTACAGTCACAAGAGAGCGCCAGTCTAATACTTCATTTCCATTTTGTTAAGTAAGTGAATATCTTTGGTTTTTTGTTTGTTTCAAGAGCTGCTCTATATTTATTTAATGAAGCTAGGGAGATGTAGTACTTTGTGAGAAAGGAGATTGGTATGAAAATAGAAGATTTTAAATAGAAGGGAATCTCAGCAACAGGAATAAAAAGCGTGAGTTTTGTGTAGAATGGGGCTGACCTAGCCTACCTGATCAAAGTTAAAGTAGAGTGGAGACCCAAGGGAGATATTTCTTGATTATAGTCTGACATCACCTTTCATTTTTTTCTTGAATATTCTTGTACTCTCGTCTTTAGCTCCTCACAAGCCAGTAGCTGTCCTACCACTTCACAAACCAGCCTGTGCCTGTCTTAATTTTTACTCTCACACCTTCTAATATACTCCTTTGCCTAATTTGTTTCTTGCATGTGGATCTGAGTCTAAATGTGGTTGTGTATATGAATAGATATATCTATTTACATGATGGTGAAGTGCAACTTGTAAGAATTGAATAAATGCTTTGAAATAAATGAATGAAAGCAACTCTATCAACTTGTATAAATACTTTGTATTTCTGCTTTCAATTAATTAATGATAATTTCTGCCTTTACTAGTTAATCAAAATAAAATGTGTTATACTGTCAATCTGTTACGCTAGGTATCTCTCATAGGAATTGTTCATTCATTTAAAGCAAAATTATTCAGCATGTAATGTTTGTCCAGCACTTTCTTATGTACTTGGGGATTCAGTCAGTGGACAAAATAGACAAAAATATTTCTGCATAGAGCTTAGAGTCTAGAAGAGAGGGACAGGGAATAAATGACAAACAACAAGAAAGCAAAAAATGTATGTTAGAAGGCAATATATGCTGTTAAAAAATAGAAATAGCAGGTGTCTTTTAGAATGACAATTATCGAAAAGATGAAAAAAATTGTTGGGGAGAATGTGGATAGAAGGGTTTCCTTGTATACTGTTATTTGGAATATAAATTAGTCCAGCCATTATGGAAAACAATTTTGGAGGTACCTCAAAAAATTAAAAATAGAACTATCATATGATCTAGCAATCCCACAATTGACTATAAATATGTCCAAAGGTAATGAAATCAGTCTATCAAAGAGATGTCAGCACCCCCATGTTTGCTGTAGTGCTAGTCACACATAACAAAGAATGGAAACAACCTGAATTTACCCTGAAGGATGAACTGATAAAGAAAATGTGGTCATGCACAATGGAATTCTATTCAGTCTTTAGAAAGAAAGAAATCTTGTTATTTACAACAACATGAGGACATTATGTTGAGTGAGATAAGGCAGGCACAGGAAGACAAATACTGCATGATCCCACTTATATGTGGAAACTAAAATGTTGAACTCATAAAAGCAGAGAATAGAATGGTGATGACCAGGGGCAGAGTAGGGAGGGTTGTGGACATGTTGATCAAAAGGTACACACTTTCAACTAAATAGGAGGGAAAAATTCTAGAGATCTGTTGTATAATATGGTAACTATAGGTAATACAATTTATTGTATTTTTGACAGTTGCTGAAAGAGTAGATTTTAAATATTTTCACTACAAAAATTGATTTACACTTGTGAGGTAATGCAGATATTAGTGCAAATCAGTGATTATACAACCCATACATATTTCAAAACAATGTATTTGAACATAAGCATATTCAATTTTTATTTGTCACTTAAAATTCATTGAAATACTAAAAAACTATTCACTAAATGAATACTTTCAAAAAGAGAGAAAAATAGTAGGTGTGCTGCTAGTGGGGAGACTTGGTGCAGGCTGTCTTATGGAATAGATATTTGAGACCCTTAAGAGGCAAGTTAGGTCTGATCTTTTAGGCTCCCCCAAATCTTACTTTTAAGGTGACATGTATTCTGCCTATGTTTACAGTTAGTCCCAGTTGTAAGCCCTATAAACATTCAATCCAGAAAGAACCATTTTCTCTTGTTGAGAGTCCAATTCAATTCAGAAGCCTTAGAGAGGCAGTAGTTCTCATGTTATTGAGTATCATGTAAGAAGACAGCTTTTATATTGGCATTATCTTCATAAATTTCAAAAATTTGAGTTTAAATAGATAACATCTGACAAACCATAAAAATTCGCCTTGGGATACACTATGTAATTCTGCAAAAAATATAACTTTACAAGCTGAAGTGGTCTGGAAATGAGGGCAAGTATCTACTGTTCAGCTAAAATATTTCTCTGGTGACATAAGAACTGGGAAGTCAAGAGCTGCATTACCACTCCAGCTTTCTGGCTTCCTCCCAGGAGTCTAAACATTTGTTTCTTGAGAAATACCACTTGAATAATTTCTTGGCCTCTGGACAGGATACCACAACACTAAAATTGCATTGCCCTTATTTTCTTTTTGGTTTGGAGCCTGGACTTAATTTTTTTTTGCTTGTATTTTTTTCTACACTAAAGCTATATTTTGGATAATCTGAGCAATATTGCTTGATACTATTCTGAGAGATAAAATCTTAGGGAAGGAGCTGTTCTGTATATCCCAAAATGATTCTAAATACTAAGTCTAAAATGCAAAGCCTAGGAAGAGAAACTCAAATCCAGGCAGATCTTACTAGAGTTCTGAAGTTAGGCATTTGCCTAGAGAAACAGAAGACTGGTCACAGAATATGAGATGCTTTCTGAGGGGAATGTTGAAGGAACTGTATTCATTGATTCAGAAAAAGATGAGCCTGGGGGAAGAGTTTATTAATTGTCTTAATGACTCAGATGCAGCAGACAGTCAATAAATACACTCTTTATTCTGAGATGATTAAATAGACTCTTGAAGGGCCATGGGAGATATTAATGAGAATTAAGGAGAAATCTTGATTGTGAAACAGTGGAAATAGTTCCTGAAGAAAGTTGTGGAACCTTTTCCTAGACACATTTATAAATAGGGAGAGTCTTATCTGTCTGTGATAGGTTGAGTGTAGCAGTAAGACCTAGTGATCCTAAGATTTCTTCTGTAGACTAGATTTGGTATGCCAGCTTTTTTAGAATCATGCTATCGTTCTGTAACACTTGAGTGGACTGGTATGATGGTGCATTGAAACTATTGGTTAAGCTTATATACTTGTGTGTGTGTGTGTATTCAAAAATCCATCTTCTATAAAAAATTATAATCTTTAGCTGTCTCTTCTCATTTATAAACATAATATTATGACAGTCTGATATGCTCAGTATGTTTCTTTACTGTCTCCGTAATTATTATAGCATCACTGGTGATTAGGTTTACTATTACCCAAAAGGGAATGAGAGGCACTAATGTAAATTCTTCCAAGTCCACACAAATTCTTTTACCTTAAGCATTTTACAAAAGAAAACAGTATTTATTTGAATTATTTCCTTTCCATAAATATCATAGGGAGGTTATCAGATTAAGAGGTTTTTTTCCCTGTAAACTAATTTGCTTTTAACCCATATTACTCTTTTTACATAGGGCATGTAGAGGTAATTCATAAGAAGTGGCTCGAGTATCAGACACGTTTTGAAAGGTAAGTTTTAATTTTCTTAAAATGTATAATAAAATTGTATTGGGGCCTTCAAAAAGTTCATGGAAATGTGTATTTTGAAAAAAAACTATGTTAATATTTCAAATTTTTTTAACACCAAAATAAATTTGATCTTTTATTCCATTCTTCCACAAACTTTTTGAAGTGCCTTCATATAAGATAAATGTATTGTAATAAAGCAAAATTTATTTTAAGGTAGTTTTTGGACAGAAATTAGAATTGGTAAGACTGTGAAGGTCATCTCTTGAGGAATTTGAAGTCCTGAGAAAATGAAGGGGATTTTCTATGTTAATAATGGTAGCAGTAGGGCAAAAATTTAGGCCCCCTACCTCATAGTCTGGAGATCTTTACAACACATATTGGTCTGTCTTGCTTTGTTTGAGTAGTTTTTTGTCTGATGTGGTAGCATGAGTTTGTGCATGTTTGTTAGGGATAAGAATCTTCTGGTGCATGGAAGCGTGATACCCAAATGAAAGCGAGAGATGATTCAGAAGAGTAAAGTAGAGAGCTACAGGAAGGTTATCATGGCAGAGTGAGCCTCATATAGCAGAGATTTCTTATGGCTTTAAAGACAACCTTTTCATTTTGGAACTCTTGGGGTGCAGAGGAGGAGGAGATATTTTACCATGCATGGAAATATATGCAAATGATTGATATCATCAGAATCTGCCTCATATTAAACCACATAGATGATAGTTAAGAAATCAACAGTGGCAAATATGGCCACAGCAAAAGGCCACCAAACATTATTAAAAGGACTATCCACAATTGCTGAGTTCTATTTTAAAATCTCTGTAGTAGCATCTATGTAGCTTGGAACTGGGGAGTGTATCTATGTCATCGAGTGTTTGGGTAACATTGCAAATAAGAATTGTCAAACAGTTTTGTAGAAGAAAAGCCTAATGGTAATGTGAAAGGCCAATATCATTGATAAATTAAAAGAAGGAAAAAGCAGAGAATCCAAATTGACATACCATCAACTACTTTCTCCTGAAGAAAAACCATACTTGCTGGGCCTATGACAAGTTGTGCTTTCCTAGACAGCTCTAGGCCTCCCTTTATGCCTCTTTATCTCATTTGTTCTTTCTTTTCTCTCTCATATTTTTTCTCCTTCTCACTCATCCTCTCGGGCCCCACCAGATATGCACTAAAATAACTTAAAGATGAATAGAGGAAATCCCATCAAGGTGGCATGTACCAATGCCATCTCACTAGTCAAAGTGATCAATTTCAGTTCACAATTGATCATACTGATAGGTCTAAGAGTCAAAGGGATCACATAACAAGACTGTGTCTGCTAATAATAACTGATAAAATAAAAAAGGGAGAGAACGATACAACATGGGAAGTGGGATACACAGCAGACTCATAGAATGGCAGATGTCCTAAACAGAACTCTGGTCTCAGAATCAGCCCTTAAGACATTCGGATCTGGCTGAAGTACCCATGAGAGTATTTTAGGCATGGAAAGCCAAGACACTCTGGCAAAAAAAAAAAAAAAATCTAAATGAAAGATCTCTGCGAGTGAGATCCCAGTGGAAAGAATGGGCCATCAAAGAAGGAGGTACCTTTCTCTGAAGGGAGGAGAGAACCTCCACTTTGACTATGACCTTGTCTAAATAAGATCGAAGCTGGCGAACTCAAAAGGCTTCCATAGCCTTGGCAACTCATGACAGGAGCCTAGGGTGATTACTGATGCCATAAACAAGAGTGTCAAATTGTTAAGTCAACAACAGGAGTCACTTACTCCTCATGTAGGATCTCTGTCCTTAATGTGTTGTCCAATGTGAATTAATGCTTTAATGCTATAACTAGTACTGAAACAGTATTTTACACTTTATGTTCTGTGTGGGTGCAAACTGTTGAAATCTTTACTTAATATATACTAAACTGATCTTCTGTATATAAAGATAATTGAAAATGAATCTTGATGTGAATGGAAAGGGGAGAGGGAGCTGGAGATGGGATGGTTGCAGGCGGGAGGGAAGTTATGGGGGGAAAAAAGCTGTTGTAATCCATAAGCTTTACTTTGGAAATTTATATTTGCTAAATAAAAGTTAAAAAATTATCAAAAAAGATGAATAGATTAATAAAAATATGCAATATATAAAAATAAAATAAATATGAATATAAATATGTAAAAAATGAAAATGTTCTCAGAATCTAAGCAGTCTAGATCAGGAGTTAGATAAGTAAACATATAGTTATGATGCAGACTATGAAAAAGAGGGGACATTTTTTAAATGATCTTTGGAAACCCATATTATGGGTTTCAAAAAGGGGATGAAAACTGGACTTTTCAATGATGGATAGGAAATTCTCATTATTTTCTTCTTGAATTATTGAAATCACTCCCTAACTGTGACTTCTTACCATTATGCTTTCCCTTCTACATTTTGAGAGAACTTCCAATATAAAAGCAATGAGGATAAGAATTCATTGAAAAGCAAAATTTTGGGATGACTTTATTGAGATGTGAAGGAATCCAAACAAAGCAGATAAGCAGAGGCTAAATCAGTAGGTACCTTGCATACCATGTAAAAATTGAAGAGCAGTTGAATATGTTGCAAGTGGAAGACTATCCCAATCTACTTTGCATTTTATCTTATGACTGTTAAGTGGAAAATGGATTGGATTGGAGGAGGATAAGCATGACAGCAGGAAGCCTTGTTAAAAGTCATCTTGGAGGAGCTGGCATTGGGGCAGAACAGGTTAATCTGCAGCTTGCAATGCCAAAATCCCATATCCAAGTGCCAGTTCCAGTTTTGGCTACTCCACTTCCAATCCAGCTCCCTGCTAATGTACCTGAGAAGCAGTGGATGATGACTCAAGTGCTTGGTTCTTGCCACTTACATGGGAGGCCCAGAGGGAGTTTCTGTCTCCTGGCTTTGGGCTGACCCAGCCCTGGCTGTTGCAGCCATTTGACGAGTGAAGCAGCATAGGGAAGGTTTTTCTGGCTTTCTCCGCTACTCTGTCTTTCAAATAAACAGGTAAATAAATTTTTAAGAAAAAGTCCTCCTCATTGAGAGGAAAAATGACAGCCTCAACTAGGGTAGTGGTGGTGGGAATAGACAGCAGTAGGCAGATTCGAGAGATATTTAGGACATATTATTGATAGGACTTGGTGCTTGATTGTGTTGGATGACTGGGAGAGAGATGATAAGGATTTTCTTATCTGACTTGAGCAACTAGAAAGTTATGCCATTCCCTGAAATATGGGACATAAAAAGATTACTCATTCTGATTGGAGTAAGATGATGAGTTCAGATTTGGACCCGTTGAGTTTGATTTGCCTAAGACATCCAGGTAAAAATTTCTTTTTCTCTTTTAAAGATTTATTTTTATTTATTTGAAAGGCAGAGTTATAGAACGAGGAGGAGAGACACAGAGAGAGATCTATCGGCTGTTTTACTCTTCAGATTGCTGTAATGGCCGGGGCTGGGCCAGGCCGGAGCCAGGCCAGGCCGGAGCCAGGAGGCTGGAGCTCCTACGTGGGTGTGAGATGGCTCCTAAAACTTGAGCCATCTTCTGCTGCTTTCCCCAGGCACATCGGCAGGGACAGAGTTGGGTCAGCTGGGACTCAAACTAGTGCCCATATGGGATGCTGGGGTCACAGGTTGGGGCCCAACCCACTACACCGCAACGCTGGCCCCTGAAAATTTCTATTAAACAATTTTATATAAAAGGTGGTAGTGTATAGTCTTCCTTCCTTGCCTCTTCTGAATGCCTTTCTGTCCTCAAGAACTTACTGCTGGATTTTGTACTAACCTGGCTCACTTGTTTCTTTTTCCTGGTTTCCTTATACTTCTCAAAAGTAGATATCATTATGTCTGTTTGTACCTTTTGCAATGCTTAACTCACTTGTGGCCATGAGTGGAGAATTTTTAAAAGCTTATGAAAAGTTGCACTTGGCTGCCTTACCACTGAGATCATTCAGGGCAAGAAATTGACAACTTAATACTTATTAAAGAGTGCAAGGATCATTTAACTCTTTGTAAACACCTCACTTAACAAATAGCACAAATTAGGCTTATCTGTGGTACCCATTCTACCTGAAAGATTTGTAGGATATTCTCTATATTACCATAGTTTAGGGTTTAGAACCTTTTGGGAGAAGTGGAAGTGATAACTGCTTTTCTATACTGGCTTCCCTAAAATTATTTATTTTTAAAGGTTTATTTATTTTATTTTATTTTAAAAAAGATTTATTTATTTGAAAGGCAGAGTTACAGAGAGGCTTAGGTAAAGAGAGAGGAAAAAAAGAGAGAGAGAGGTCTTCCATTTGCTGGTTCACTCCCCAGTAGATGCAATGGCTGGAGCTGCTCCAATCCAAAGCCAGGAGCCCAGAGCTTCTTGCAGGTCTCCCATGCGGGTGCAGGGGCCCAAGGACTTGGGCCATCTTCTACTGCTTTCCCAGGCCATAGCAGAGAGCTGGATTGGAAATGGGGCAGCCCGGACACGAATTGGCACCCATATGGGATGCTGGCACTGCAAGGGCTAGGTTTACTTGCTACACCACAGCGCCGGCCCCCAAAATTAATTATTTTAGCTTTTGAGTTTCTGAGATTCTGCAACCCACTCTGGCATGTGGAACTCATAAACAAATGAAGTGATCTGATCATTGTCATCTGATGTTTGGGGACTTAAAATTATCTTTAGGTGCTGTATCCTGAGATATTTCCTGCTTTATTTTCTCCAGAGGGACCGCCTAGACATCTAAAGGGAAACTTGAGACATTTCAGTTCAGCATTTACAGAAAACGATTCCTTTAAAAAATTCATGTGGCCTCAGCACCATTACTAAGTGTGGCAATGAGGTCTTTAGTGGGCTTAGCAAATCTTGCTTTCCTATCCCCCTCCTTTTTAATGTTTTGTCATTTTGTTTCCTCTCCCTCTTCTGAGAATGATTATCTCATTTATTCATGTCTCTTTGTATTCACAAGTCACTCCTTACACATCGCTAAAATTTGCCATAGTCTCTGT